TTTTACACAAATACACACACATATAGGTTGAACACTAGCAACTTTCACATTCTGCCAACGTACAGCACGAAACTCATAAATTCTTATTAGCGATTAGGCCATCCGAAATGTAATAATGAAATCGTGCTGCATACCACTGTTAAACCACTTGCTGTATCATTATATTAAAGAAGACATAAAAAATGAAAAAAAAAAAAGGAAAAGAAGAAGAAAATAAAAATGAAAAATAATCAAAGACGATTATTACGATGACTATATGACATCTTATTGCATAATTAATAATTATCTACTTTATAAAGACATATACATATATTATATATATATATATATATATATATATATATATATGTTTAATTGATTTAATATCAAACACGCGTTGTTGTTGATTCATTCGATCCGAGAAAACAGATTTCTCTGCTACCGTAATAATGTACACTTACCTGTCTCTATCAAGTAAAATAAAATTCACATATATTTTCTTTTTTTTTTCTTTTTTAATTCTAACGTCACTTACAATTAGAAAGGATATAATACAAGGACGACGTAAATCTTATTGAAACTCTTTTAATGTCAACGCGAATGAAAGAAGATTTCATATAAGGTTGTTTGTCTATTAAGAAAAGGGGATGGGAGGAAAAATAATAATATATAAAATAATTTATTATATCTTGGTATAATTACTTATTAAAAAAATAATTTGAATACATTTAAATTATATATATATATATATATTTATATATTATAATCAAAAATAAATAATTTAAATTAAATTATATATAATTATATATTATATATATTAAATATATATATTATAATATAATAGGTTTATTTTATTAATTAATATATTTATTTTAATATAATATAATATATATTATATATATAAGATATTATATATATATATATATATATTATTATATTTTATTAGATAATATTAATAATTTATTATATTATTTCTATATATATTTNATTGTAATAAAATTGTAATAAAAGAATTTTACAGTAATAGAAAATATTTAGAAATATATATAAAATATGTATTAATATATACTATATATATTAATATATAAAAATATATATATATATATAAATAGTATTTAAACAAAAAAATATTTATAGTTATATATATTCTTGTAAAAACCGAAATTTAAAAATTAGAATAATAGTTGACCCTTCTATATATATATATATATATATAAATAGTATTTAAATTAAAAAATATTTATAGTTATATATATTCTTGTAAAAACCGAAATTTAAAAATTAGAATAATAGTTGACCCTTCTATTTCTTTTTTTTCGAATGCAATCTCATTTTCATCTATAATTCTTTCACATAATTGATCCAAAATTAATAAAAATTTCTTTTCTAAAACTTTCGATAAATTTTCTTCCTGTCATAATTTAATATTTAATTAAATCTAAACAAAAGAAAGTTAGAACCTTCTTGATATTTATTATCGAGATAAATTGTAGTTAATTAAGATCTTCTATTTCAGCTACTTGCTCTGAGATGAAAGATTTAAAAAATAAAATAAAATAAAATTAGAAAAAGAAAATAAAAAAGAGTAGGTGGATGTGGTGATAGGGGGTCTTGTGGGGGGTGTGGGGGAAGAAAAATTGATAGAGAGATATGAAAAAAAATAAAAAAAAAGGAAGAGAAATGAAACGAATTTAGCCGCGATCGTTTGGTTATTTTCGCTTCAACGATGCGTAAAGATGACATCTCGCTGAAGACGACGCATTGAGATATCGACTGTTCCCCCATCTGACATATTTTCCTTTTTTTTCTTTTCTTTTTCACTTTTTCTTTTTGCAAGTTTCTTTCAAGGGACACTCGGACTTTCGGCTAGATCGAATTAATCGTTTGGAAATGATCGATGATCGGCAAATCGAACGAACGATCGATAGATCGATAGATATATCGTTCATTCGTTCGAAAGAAACAACCTACGAGAAGAAAAACATATACATATATACATATTTTTTTTGTTTGTTTAAATATATAAAATATTTTTTAAAATATTTTAAATTTGTTTAAAAAATATTTTCATTTATTATTAATATTAACATTTATTGAATATATAAATATATAATTATTATATATTATAATAATTATATATTAATATAAAATATAATAAATTATACTGTATAATAATAATAATTAAATAATAAAATTAAATATAATAATAAATAATATTATAATATTATTATATTATTAATTAATTATAAAATAAATAAATATATATATATTATAATATATAAATATAAATAAAAAATAGATAAATAAAATAATAATATTTATTATATATTAAATTTTATTATATTTTGAAATAAATGAAAAGTCAAAAACCTAGATTTGAAATTGATGTTAACGTCATTTAAAATCGTTTTAATCTTGACGCAAAACACGCGTCACACAAGAACCTGAGTTTACTACTATTAATAACGTATTATTAAAACTTGATACTGAACAAAAAAAAACCACAAAGAAAAAGAAAGATAAAAGAAGAGAAAGAAATATGAATAATAAAAAGAAAAATGGGTATCAATATAATCCTAATCGTTTCTAATCCACTGTAACCGTTTATAAAGCGGTGTATAATACAATATAATATCCTATATGCTTATGTTAAAGCTTATCGGTGAAATCTAAATCTAAAAAAGAAAAAAAAGAGATGACTATTTATCAATCAATCAATAAATTTCTTTTTTCAATGGACCTTTCTAAAAAAAAAAA